AGGGTCCAGACTCCAATTCTCTGGCACCAACTCCTCCTCCACTCTTGCACACATCCACCACCTTTGTGGTGTTAATTTCTTTTCACTTAATTTCTAGAACATTCTAAGACCAGCATCCGTCCCCACTGCACATATTTGTACACCATATTTGCATATTCTAAGTTTGAAGAGACTTTTCTCTGCTTTAGAAATGGAGCAATCGGTAGCAAATGTAAACCTCCCTAGTGTCTGTGTGTCTGTGTGTTGGAGATAAGACTTAGGGGTCCAGAGGCAGAGCTGTGGGGCGGGGGCTACGGCCTGACTCTCTTTCCAGGCTTGTCTCCAGGGAGGGCCTAGTGCTTCTGGGGCAGCTGCAGGGGAGCCCAGGGTCTCTCCAAGGATAGAGGCAGAAGAGAAGGTGTCTGCACCATAGTGGAACCTGCTTTTCATTCTCCTAAATATGGGCTCACGGTTCCTCACCTGCTCCCTTGTGCTGATGTTGCCAGAGGAGAGAGAGGAGCAGGGAAGGGGCATGGAGAAGGTCACTTGTTCTGTAGCTGAGACCATCAGGATCATGGCTTTCTAGCACCCCACCCCTCCCTGTATGCCTGACATCACCCCATGCAGGCTGGGATGTGCTGACGTGAACGTGACCGGGAAAAGAGGAGCTGCCTTCCCTGGACAAGCCTGTCCTGGCTGAGTCTGCCCTTCTCTGCTCCCTCTGGGGAGACCAGATGGAGACATGTGGAGTTGTGGGGGCTCGCACTTTCTTCCAGTCTTTCCCAGAATCTTGGTGTCCCCTACCCACACAAACACGTGCACACGTGTAGTCTCAGGCAAGTTTCGAGACTCCTCTCCCTCCATCGGGGAAGGCAGAGAAACAGTCCTGACTCCTCTGGGGGTGGGTCCCAGGACCCCAGAGCACAGGATGGGTGGTTCTTACCTGGATTGACAATCACGGAAAATTCGATCCCCACGTCAGTGCCAAATTGCTCGATCCCACACCAGTAAGTGTCTGCGTCGTCCTGCTGGAGATCCTCCAAGGTCATGGTGAATGTGCGTCGGCTGTGATTGTCCTGGATGGACACTTGGCCCTTCTTCACTAGTTGCTCTGACCCAGTGGTTTTCACAAGGATGTTGCAGGAATCCCAGTCATTCCCGCGACACAACCACTTCTTGTAGGATTCCCATCCCGGACCGTATGCACAGCGCACAGTCAGTGTGCCCCCCAATGTGCCTCTCACCTTTTTTCCCTCACAGGTGCAGAAGTGGCCTAGAAAACAGAAACCCAACATGCATCTTATCCTTCCTTGAGCCCAGGGCTGACCGGGGTGCCGCTTGGGCTTCTGGCCCTGCCCTGAAGACCAGCCAGGAGCCTCTGCCCTCTGTCTAATTGGCACATCCCGTCTGTCCCTTCATCCCCTGCAGGATTTCTTTTCTGTCACCCCTCTTGTGAATCCCCCTTGAGGCTCCTAACTCTCCTAACCAATACAGGGCTGTCTGCACACTCACCATCCTACTGACCACTGTCCCCTGCCCGACCTCAAGCAGCACCTCTCCCAGCAGCACAGAGCGCACGCTGCAGCCACAGGTGTATTTCTGAATCCCAGAGCTGGTGAGACAGCGTGACCCCCTCCCCATCTATGTCCCTGATACTCTACCTGCGCCCCCCAACAAACCCTCAGCCTCTGAATTACACGGAACTGGCATGGAACTAAATACACACACACACACTCTCTCTCTCTCTCTCTCTCTCTCTCTCTCTCACAGGTGATTGCTTGTTTTGTTGTTGTTGTTGTTGTTGTTGTTTTTTATGTATACACCTTGTTCTTCTGTGTCTTCATACCTTTGTACAAGCTCTTCCCTCTACCAGGAATGTGCTTTCTTCTTTGCTTGAAGGAATCAAACTCTTATATTCATCCTTCAAGGCTCAGCTCAAACAGTTTCTCCCTTTCTGTAGCCAACTTGGTCGCTGCTGGCGCCACCAGACCACTTAGTCCCTGTCTCAGGTATCATGCTAAGGACACTAGATGATGATCTGTCTTTAGATCATCCAGAGCAGAGACCCAGGCAGGCTGGTGTGTGGGGATGAGCAACTCTCCAAAGAGCCTGTCACCCTGTTTTTGCTGCTTGCCTTCCTCTCTGTTGTCTGAGGTCTTCGGAAAAAAGGATCCTGGCTCAAGCTATAGTTCAAGACCAAATGTACAGGCTTAAATGATCCAGATGCCTGATCTCCACCTTAACTGAGTGGCTTTCTGCTGGAGCCTGAGCATCTGGCTTCTTCAGAGTTCCTCAGGAATTCATGCATTTATGTGTGTGTGCATATATGTGTGCGTGTATGCAACTATCTATCATCTATTCATCTGTCCATCCATCCATCCATCCATCCGTCCACCCATCCATCATCTGTCTTAGGATCTATCTACCACAAGTTGACAAACTGTGCCCTAGAAAACGGACACCATTTGTGCTATTTATTTTTATTTCCTTCCCCAACACCTAACTTAGTACCTGTCAGGTAACAAAACATTAAAAAATTTTTTTAAATGAATAAGTGTCTGGATGAATGAAAGGTTCTGCCACTTCCTCCCATGCAGACCCTGTCTGTGTTGCCCTCCTCCACCCTGCAGGTGCTCGATCCTAGAGCCCCGCCTCACTCACCCTGGATGACAAGAAGGAACAGAACCGGGAGCAGCCACATGTCCTGCTTGGTTGTCTCCCTGGTGCTCAGCAAATGCCAGCTGCCCTCTGGGGACTGGAACAGAGCTCAGAGTCAAACTGCCTTCTATTTCTCTAAAATATTCGTTTTCGTTTCTCTCATCTACTTTTCTTAATAATTTTTCTTCAGTTACTTCCTAATTTCATTCATCAATTGCAAAGTAGTGCTGTCCGTTGGGAGCTTATGGGTGAAGTGATGTGGTGTCCCCTCTCCTTGCTCTGGCTGCTCAACTCGGCACCCCCTGGAGGGTGACCCTGAGGACCTTCTCTCTGGGGAGAGCTCTGCCCCTCCCCTCCCTAGCACCACCTCCAGTCCGTGCACACCTACTTCCTGTACCCCATCTCCCAGCCCCGCTCCCCACCTCCATTGGTTATTGCCCCCTTTGTATAGCTGTCCACCCTGTTAGCGGCTCAGATGTGCTCCAAATGCCATTTCTTGTCATCTGCACTCCTAAAGTCAATCTGTCCCAACATGTGGCCCGTGGGCCTGGGGCTTCCTCTCCACCTGCCCCCACCACACTAGTCTTCCATAGACAAAGAGGATGGGGTCTTCTCCCTGCCACCTGCCACCCTCAGATTGCCTTGCAGGGTTTGGGGGCTTGGTGGGGGTTGGGGGGCTCTGGAGCAGCCCAGGGCTTTGCCAGAGGAGTAGGAGAGGGTGTGGCTGGCCA